GCAATACCTCTGGTGTGAAATAGTTGCTTCAAGCGCCGTGGTACGCTGCGGCGCGGCGCGGCGGGCGGGCAGCCAGCGCGAGACGCGCATTGGCGCCTACAAACCTAACAGGGATACTTCACGCATTACCGCCGCTCCGCTTTGTGTTAGGCTCTAATATTTAATCTCGCGGAGTCAGCGTTTTCCAACTCATGACTTTGAAATGTTTGCACACTCTGTATGGATTATTCTCATTTTAATTAATGAAAACAAATATGTAGTGAAGGAAAATATAATGTGCGTTTTGTTAATATTAAGGTGATTCCGTACAAACTTAAGGATTTACAAAGCACAAGAATTTCTACTCAATTATCATAGCGTTTTATAGCCGATGGCGAAAAAGCAACAGCCAGGCGATAAAGTGTAAAGCCCGGCGTTAAGAACTGTAGCCCGGCTGTATAATTTTTCAATCGCTTCGTGTAGCCCGGCCGTATGATTTTTTCCACTTTCTACAGCCAGCTATATGATTTTCTATCGCCTTCTTCAGTCGGCTATAAGAGCTTCTATGGTATTTTGAAACGCAGCTCCTGTCGCCAATTTTAACCAGGGCTCCCACTAAAAGTAGATATCCGGTCGAATTTACGAGATTTCTCGTGCGAAAATTTAAGTAGAAAATTTGTCTCGTGTGCAGAATGTCAATTTTGCGACCCTGCATTTTGTGGTGGGGGGAGGGGGCGTCTCTCTCTTTCAAGGGTCAATATTTTGGACAAAAAAGAGCCGATTTTTTACTTTTTAGTGTCCGTGTCTTTTTGTTACAATTCTCCTTAGTTTCTGAATCTGAAAGGGCTAATTTAAAATTTTGCCGGGATCCTAGATTTTCAAAATCAGAACCAACTTTTGCTCCCGAAGGAGTCGGCGGAAAAGCGGCATCAGATGCGGATTTTCTGGAGTCGACTTTCTATTTGTTCCCGCGGTCCCCGACTTTGCCCGCCTTTGAATACGCAAGACTGCCGCGCTAAGGAAGATCGCTATTATAATTATGTGCCTTCGGTCGTCGCAATTCCTATGATGAAAACCCTAATTTCAAATTTTTAAATGGACTGCATTTTGCAATTTGGACCTATAAATTCCAGCCTGGTTTAAAAACAACGTATGTGCCATTAGTTTCCCTATGCACATAAGTGTTTTTTCAGATGAGCCTGAATTTATAGGTCCAAATTGCAAAGTGCAGTCCAAATGTTCTCTTCCAATTTTTAGGATAATTTTGTTCACAATTTTAACTGAAGTATCGAAAAATTTCAAGAATGAGTATTTACAATTCTTCTCAAAAATAGACATTTTATCACGGGAAAGGCCACATTTCGTCGCCTACCTGACATAAAGGCGTAACTACACTTTGCAATGAACCCTGTCCAGCCTGTCCTCCTTACAATTCAATGCTTTCCCCGGGCTCATTTCAATGTGTAGTTACGCCCTTATGTCGTCGTCCCTCTGACGTAAGGGCGTATCTCGATTTACACGTGAGCTCTGTTTTCCGTATAAATCCATGCTTTCCAGGGCTCATGTCGAAATCGAGGTACGCTCTTACGCCAGAGGAGCGACGATGTCAGCCAAGCGATGACTTGAATGCTTATACTGCGTTTTTCCTCAGTGGCGTGGCGTGCTTTGCGATCTATCGATATATCCTCATTTGAAGCTGTGGTAAATAATCGATTATTAAGGAGTTCGCTGCGGTCACCCTGTTTATCGATACTTTTCCATACGTTTAAATGGCCGATCAATCAATATATCGCAAAGCACGCCGCCGCGCCACTGTTTCCTCTTATCACGGAGGAAGAGGCCTTGTTAAGGGTAGTGTGGATTTTTTTTAAAGTTGTTTTAGGTTTTTGCCCTGTTAGGGCACCGTAATCTTGTGTGGGAGCTGTTGAAAAAGGATGAGTATAATTAAGGTGATACACGGACTTTACGTCCACTTTTTTTTACGTCCACAGACTTTTCGTCCACAATTTTTACGTCCACAGTTCTAAAGCCCACACTATTGTTTAGTCCATTACTTAAACGTCCACTAAGTTAAGTCCACAAATGTAAAGTCCACTAAAATCAAATTCAAGTGTCATATTTTAGTCCGTGAGTAAAATTATACTGTCAATATCGAAATGAGAAAATTAGGAGAGAATGAGGTGTTGTCATCGTAACTCATATTTTAAATGAAATTTTAATTTCTTCTTTTGATTCATCTTTTCAAATTGTCTTTGGTAAATACTTGGTTTCATCTCTATCCTTGAAATTTCCGATACAAAATATGCCTTAAATGTACATTCTTTTTACTTTCTCGCTCCCCTAGTTTTTTAATGAAATTGATTACTTCATTTTAAAAACATTTACATTTTTAAAACGTGGTAAATATTTGTAAAACCTTTTCCAAGCAATGGCATCGATATGAATCTCAATGAGCCGTAGTTGTGATGAAAGAAACTATACAAAAAGTAATAAAAGAGGAAAAAACTAAGAAGCACGCAATTTTTTGTTTTTAACTTATTTGTACATAAACCTCCTTGAGTCAAATACGTCCAATTTTGAGCGTTTGGTTGCGCTTACACCACGCTGCAGCACAGTAAAAGCCCAAAACATAAAATAATAAATTTGAATGCTTTTGGAAATCATTAAATTTGATACGGAACCACTATCATATTTACAAAAAACACATTATATTTTCCAATAGTACACATTTCTTTTTCATCAGTTTAAAAGGGAATAAGCAATGCAGAGAGTGCAAACATTTCAAAATCATGAGTTGAAAAACGCTGACTCCGCGAGTTTAAATATTGGAGCCTAACACAGAGCGGAGCGGCGAGTTAGCAGCGCAGAACGCGCACTCGCGCCTACAAACCTAACGGGATACTTCACGCATTGCGCAACGCGTGAAGTATCCCGTTAGGTTTGTAGGCGCCTATGCGCGTGACATGCTGGTTTCCTGCCGCGCCGCAACGCTTTAAGCAACTATTTCGCGTCAGAGGCGTTGCACAGTATCCTACAAGATTGAAGGTGCACGAAATAACTAGTTAAAGAGGACTTTCAATTTTGACTGCATCTGTTACTGAAAAATGTTTAATTTGGCATTGGAGCGATTCCTAGGCTCCCGCTTTGGTTTTCATCTTATCATATCCGTAAAGTGTACACATGAACATATGTTTTTATCTGCTCTTAGAGTCTGTTCTTTTTCATGACTTGATTCATGAATGAAATGTTTTTCAGAATGAAGGTAGTAGTAGTATGCATTTATTTTTGAGGTGGTTCCTGTCATTTAATTGAGAAGAAAAAAATGTGGACATAACATGTCCACAACTTGGACAATTTTGGACATATTCATGGTTGGACATTAAATAATGTGGACTTAATAAAGACTGGACTTAACGTTTAGTGGACATAAATAGCGGTGGACATTTATTTAATGGACGAAAGGTAGGTGGACATAAAGTCCTGGAAGCATTAAGGTGGTATTGGGGGTATCTTTGAGGATTTAATGGGGGAATAAAGGATTGAAAGGTTTGTTCCTATATATTTCACAGGGTATAGTTTGGATTATCCTCTATCTTTAGACTTGCACTCATAAACTTTTCGTTTTTTGACCACTATTTTGGACTTTGGATATTTTGCGAAATGGTCCAAACGGTCACATTTTCCTCTGAGATTTCTCGAGTAGCACATTTTTTTGGACGACATTAATGATCCTCTGCTCCTGTATTCGTATTTATTTTTGTTGAAAAAAATGTAAGTAATCTTCACTTTTCCTCCTGCTTTGACTTAATGAATGGACCACGGACGAAAATCTATCTGCTTTGTTTAGAAAATAAAACAACTTTTTATCTACATGAGTGTATCGAACACTGATACATTGATGAACCTACGAATATGAATACTGATGATAGCAAGGAGACTGAAAAATGTTCGTCATTTTATTTCACGAATTTTTATCGATGTACTTTTATACTTCTCAATTTTTCTCCTTTTTTTATCAAACATTTATGTATCGATAATATGATCGATCGTCGATAAATCGATGGATTCAGTCAGGGAGATCAAATTGCATATCCGATGATATGAAGAAATTTTAAGCCTGTAGACCCGTAACCAAGCGACTTATTTAAGGTACCACACCGTTGCGCCGTTACTACAAGTGTGATCCCTTTCGAGCAACTATTTTAACTCTCCGGAGATCAAATTGCATATCCGATGAAATGAAGGAACTTTGAATCCGGAGACCCGCAACCAAGCGACTTATTTAAGATACACTCATTAAACCTTATTTATGATAAAATCTGAGCCGAGACCTAAACGTTTGTGGTCGAGATCCGAGAAAAACACTCAGGTTTTTTCATCGATATTTGTTACTTTTAATTGTATTTTCCGACTGAAAATGACTCAGTATTGAGTCGAAACATCAGAGGAATACGTGTTATCGGCTGAAAAACGAATGATAATCACACTCAAAGCTTAATTTGCGGCAAAATTTCCATTAAAGGTCGATCCCAACGCTTTTCAGAAGTTGATCATAAAAAAATTTCCAACACATCCCAAATCACGTCAAGAACTTTGTCGCCATCTTGTTTGTCTACAATGGGCCAAACTAGGAGCGGGGGGGGGTTGGGGTTTGTTTACATCGGTCCAACTTTGGGGCTCGATGATAGCCGATCAATCAGAGAGCGGCACACTTTTCCTGTCGTGAAAGGATTGAAATGACAATACTCTCTTGCATATAGGTGCTCTAGTTCTTACTTAGCACGGCGGTATAGTAGAGGTTACCTTTTTTTTCTCAGTATATTTTCCCGGCTATGAGTGGGGGTGGCCGGGACCAGGGACCCGGGACCCGGGGGTCGTGGCGGGGCGGCGTGGAAAACGTAACGCTTCCTCTTGTGGGGTTACGTAAGCGACTTTACGTGTGGCGTTTTATGTAACTACGGCGGATCGATGGCGCTCGGCGCGGCGCTCGTACCGTTCCCGCGCGACTCGCGGCGGCTTTTGAGTTTCAGCCCGCTCCGACTTAAGAGCCTCCGCCGCTGCCCGGCTTTCCAGTGACTCCGCTTCCGCCACCGCCGCGGCCCTTATCGCGAATTTTCGCAATTTCTCGAATTTTTCCAACCCCCCTCCCCCTACCCCTCGCGCGAGTGCTTTCGCCAGACGCCCGCTCCTAGTGTACTTGTGCGGATTCGACCGTTTCCATCGCTGACGCTCGGACCTTTCACTCCTGTTCGTTAAGGTGAGTGTCCTCATCATTTTTTGGATTTTTTTTGGAAGTTTAGATCAACCGCTCAGATTATATATTTTCATCTCCGCTCATTGAAGTGATTGTTCGCATCATTTTGATGAAAATATTTAGGGGAATAATTTTGTCAAGGTGTAATAGTTTTGTTAAGATGAGTGTCCTCATAATTTTTTGGAATTTTTTTTGAAGTTTAGATCCACCGCTCGGATTATTTATTTTCGTCTCCGCTCATTGAAGTGATTGTTCGCATCATTTTGATGAAAAAAATTAGGGGAATAATTTTGTGAAGGTGTAATAATTTTGTTAAGGTGAGTGTCCTCATAATTTTTTGGATTTTTTTTTGAAAGTTTAGATCAACCGCTCGGATTATTTATTTTCATCTCCGCTCATTGAAGTGATTGTTCGCATCGTTTTGATGAAAAAAATTAGGGGAATAATTTTGTCTAGGCATGTTTCGAAAAGAGCTACCTAACGCTTGATAACGTTACTTACTGATTGTGTCCGAATTGAACTGCAACGGGATTCGTAAAATTTTGGAGAAAAATTGTTTTTTGGAGGTTTTTCTAAAGGTGCTTTCTATCGCTTGATAGTTTCACTCCTGTTTATTAAGGTGAGTGTCCTCATACTTTTTTGAGATTTTTTTTTTTAAAGTAATGATTCATTAGACGTTTTTCAAAAGGTGCTTTTTATCGCTTGATAATTTCACTTCCGTTTATCAAAATGAGTAACCTCATAGTTTTTTTTTTTTTTTTAGATTTTGTTTGAAAGTAGTAATTCATTAGACATTTTCAAAAGGTGATTTCCAACGCTTAAATAATAATTTCACTTCCGTTTATCAAAGTGAGTGCCCCCCATATTTTTTTGATATTTTTTTTTTGAAGTCATAATTTTTTGACCTTTTTCAAAAGGCACTTTCTAACGCTTGATAACGTTACTTTCTGATCGTGTCCAAATTAAATTGCAAAGGGATCGTAAAATACTTTGGAGAGAAATTAAATCTTGCCTTTGGTTAGAAGGGGTCGGCGGAAATTTTTTCGACAATTTTTAATGAAAACGCTCAGATTATTTATTTTCATTTCGGTTCATTGAAGTAATTTTTCGCATCATTTTGATGAAAGAAATTAAGGAAGTAATTTTGTCTAGGAATTTTCAGAAAGTGCTTTCTAAAGCTTGCTAACGTTACTTACTGATCGTGTCTAAATCAAATTGCAACGGGATTCGTAAAATTTTGGAGAAAAATTATTTCAATTTCCTCTGGTCAGAAGTAGCCGACAGAGATTTTCTAAACCATTTCGACTGTTAAGGCTCGAACCTTTCATCTCTGTCCATTGAGGTAATCATCCTCCTTATTTCGATAATTTTTTTTCTTAAAAATTGAAAAAACAACTTTTCACAGAAATTTTTCAAAAAAAGCTCACTAAAGTTTGATGACTATATTTACCGATTGTGTATGAAATAAAATGCAACAACTTTTGTTAACTTTTCTGAAAAAAAGTTGCTCTCGATTCCGTTTTGAAGCGGTTTGCAGAGATTTTTTTGACGATATTGGTTACTGTCACTCGGACTTTTCACGCAATGAAGTAATGTCGTGCTAATTTTTTAACAGTCACTTGACAGCTTTGCATACTGGTTGTATGTGTGATAAATGCTAACGGTCTTCGTTAAACTTTTGGTGCAGAAGCATCCCTTCCCTTGGCTCCATCAAGAAGCGGTTGGCAGAGATTTTTCAGTTGAATTCGACTGCTTTCGCTCAGACCTTTCAAGGTTTTGTCAATTAAGAAAACTGTTCTCATAATGTTTTGATAATTGCTTCCTAATGCTCGTCAGCTTTTCTTACTGATTATATTCGTGGTCAACTGCAACAAAATACAGCTTTTTTTTGGGGGGGGAGGGGGGGATAAAATTGTTCCTCTTGGCCTCGTCATCCACAAATACTAATGGCTTTTCTCTTTTGACTGCTATCACTCAGACGCTTTACTTTTGTTTATAATGGTAACCATTCTCATGCTTTTGAAGGATCGCTTCTAAAGATTGATAAATTTATTCACCGGTTGTATTTGAAATAAACTGCAGTAGATTCTGTTAAAGATTTTTGGAAAAAAGATATTTCTCGCTTTGACTCAAAGCGGTTGGCAGGTATTATTTAAACGATTAATTCGACTGGTAACACTCAGACCTTTCAAATCTCCTCATTAAAAAGGTAGCTGACCTCATACCTACTTTTTTAAATCTTTGCTTTTTAACGTTTGATGACTTTACTCCTCTCTGAATTCGTAGTAGAGGGCCTTAGATTTCATTAGTTTTTCTTGGATTGAAAAAGAAAAGTAATTTTGTTGGCTTAGTCATAAATGCACGCACATTTTTTTGGCGATTTTGACTTCGATTCTGTCCATTTAGCCAGATACCTTCATATTCTTTTGAGAATTGCTTTTTAACACGTGGTACTTACTCATTGTGTTAGAAGTAAATGAAACAGGATTCATCAACTCCAGGCCTGGATTTACCTACTTGCCGCCCATGGGCCGCCTGTATTTTGCCGCTCCCTTCTCATTGGTATTGGAACATCAATAAAAACCATCAAGTGAACGTGCCAGTCGGGGAAAGGTGCATAAGACGCGTTTACTCGTGTTGAACACATTTTTTGGGGATGCCCTGTCAACACTACTAGCAAAAGTTCAGTTTCGTAAACCTATCTCTGTGTGGAAAAGGCCTACCATTCATAAGAAATGAACGAAAAAATTATGAAAGAACAAACATGAATGTGGTTTAATGATTTTAACCTCCGCCGCCGCGCCGCACAGACCACACCGTGTTTGGTGCAATGCGTGAGGTATTCACGCAGTCTTGTAGGCGTCATGCGTTTCACGCTGACCGCACTGTGTTTGGCGCAATGCGTGAAGTATTCATGCATGCTTGTAGGCGCTATCCGTTTCACGCTGACCGCAATGACCACACTGTGTTTCATGCCATGCATGAAGTATTCGTGCAGTCTTGTAGGCGCTGATATGTGTTACATGCCGATCGCCGCGCCGATGGCTTCTCCTTTTCATCTCAAGTCCTCGTCATCATTGCTCTCTGCGCCGCGCCGTTCCAGGCCAAATTGCGTGTTTGATTTCTCTCTTAACTCGACTACTTAAAGATACTGTCTTTTGTATCACTGAAAGACGACAAAATTAAAAATTACTACTCTCTCAGGAAATGAGAGATTTTGTCGCCTTTTCTCGTTTGTAATTTTTTTTTCTAAATCCGATATTTTTTTATACCTACATTAAAAAAAATGTGCAAAATTTGACGCCCTCTAGATTTGCCGCCATGGGCCGCGGCCCATGTGGCCACCCCCTTAATGCGGCCCTAAACAATTCTTCTGGAGGAAAATTATTTCTTGGCTTCCTCTAGAAGCGATTGGCAGTGATTTTCTGGGCGATTTTCACTCCTAGCGCTCGAATTTTTCACTTCTGTTCAATGAGGCGACCGTCTTCACGATTGCTTGAGAGGTAGATTTCACGGCAAGAAAAATTCATGTTTACAGCATGAATAATTTCATGATGCAAATCGTCCAAAATCTCAAATTAGCCAAGATTCAATCAAATTCCTCAATTGCAAAATTATTTGAAGACTTCCCAACGGATATTGGTTCATACTTTAAACACTATACAGGGTGATCTAGGGTTAAATGATCAGACTGCACACCCCCAAACCTCCTCTTCAAATTGAGATTTCGATTTATTTGATCCTTTACAAATTCAGGGCATAAAAGTTCAAGGGAATCCGCATTCTCATGAGATTTGGTTCACAACCGTTGCCAAAATTCAGGAAAAACGATTTTCATTCCAAAATTTTGGGGGGAGGGGGCCGTACGCCGTACCGACTGAGGGACTGAGGGAAAATACTCTATACAACATGAAAGTCTTATTTTGACCCATAGAACACGCTCCTGCAGTCTGCCCGTCCAACTCTATGGATCACCCTGTAGAAATGTTTTAATCGTCCAGTTGGACACAAAAATTAGTTTTTTTCCTCTCCTGTAAAATCTAGTTTTACGGCCTTCCGCCTTTTTATACAGAAATCGATTCAATTTTGACTCATGCCCGAGACCTATCTCATAAAATCGTCAAAACTTCTTTGTATAGTTCGTCAATTCATATAGTGTTACGACATAGCGTCGAAAAGTTTTTTTCCCCCGCGGAAGAGTCGAGAAAGCTACCGGAAAAGTCTCGCGTTGAGCTTCCGAGATAGCTAAAAATAAGCTATGTCCGCGTCAGGTGCACTCGCTGGACGACTTCCGAAAGTTAACCAAATTACTGAAATCGTTTCGTTGACCTCATTCTGTTGTTACGAAGGCAACTTCGCTCACACTCTTTTCGACGCTCGCGAGAGATAATTGTTAGAGATTTTTAGCATTGACAACATGTTTTAAAGACCACAGTTTGGCCATAATTATGTGGAAGTAACATTTATCCAATAAAATTATCATTCTTTTGCAAGATGAGTTACGTTTTTCTGGGGGAAGGGGGAGAGAAGGGAAGATCAGTTTTAGGTTCAGATTTTCTATACGTAATATGGGCTTTATGGTTTTTTTAGATCATTCAATAATCTTCCGAACACTCTGTTTACATACATATAAGTCGCTTTACAGCACTCCCTCGCGCTCTACGACTCCTAATCTCCACTGCTCTCTTTCAAATCACAAATTTTGGGGCATTGAGCACCTTAACATTTCCGCTTCAATCCCCTCTCTCCAACCTTGAGGTTGGAGGAACACTTTGTTTACTTTTGGAAAAAATAGAGACTCTTGACAATATGTATGAATCGTGACCATCAATCTATTTAAATCCGTGGATTGTCAATCGCCTATTTCTCCGGAATAAACAATGCTTGACTTTACCAAAAGGACATCACGCCCTTTTTCCAATTTTTCGACCCCTCTCCCCCCTTATAACGTAATCCTACACCCTCCCCTATTCAATTACGTAACGCTGGCCTGCCCCCCCCCC